CCAATGTCGGCTTCGTGTGGAGTTCCCCAGGACTTATGGGAGTCGAGGTGGGTGGCCCCGTGGTGGGAGGACCGGACCACCTACAAGAAGATCCGATTTCCGAGTTCTTGTTTCAGGTAAGGTCCTTGCAAATTGAATCAGATGGTGCATGTATAATCCTTACCACAGCAGCTGGCCTCCGAGAAACGTTAGCTGGGACACTTTGTTTGCTTGGGGTAGCAGGGCCATCTACAGTAGCTTGTGCCACTTTACAGTGTAAGGCTCTCCCCAGGGAGGCACGTATCTTGCAAAAGAAACTGTGTTGGTAGGACAGCCTTCAAAGAACATGAGCAGGTTTTCTAGTGGTGAATAGGGAAGCTGCTGGAAAACCTTGCAAGCGGGAGTTCCAAATACATTTTCTTTTGTAGTGGATCTGGGTATCAGACTTGCTGGATAGGCATTCCCGGAGCCAGAATTAAGTAATCTGTCTAACCTTGGAACCTGAAAGGGGCTAGAATTTGTGATGATTTTGGAATTGCTATTAAGAAAAGCAAAGGCTCCATACCTTCTGGAATCTTGGGGATTACATTGGGAAGTATAGACTGTTTCTATCTAGCATTTACATGTGATGAAATGGTAAGCTTAGAAATGTGTCTTTGAAATACTGACACACTAGTAAAGGTCTGGGCCTTCTGAACATGGCAGGGGAGTTTAGTTGTATGAATGGAGTAAAACATGACAGAACCCGGCATCTTTACGAGGTGAATGGCACACAATCCCAGCAGATTCCAGTGTACTTAGAATGATACTGCCTCTCTTGTGTCCCCATTGTAATGTTTAACCCTAGAACTCTATTCCCTCCTTCAGGATGTCATACATTATCTTTTTTTCTCTCCATGCTGCTCTGAAATCCTGCTTAGAACACTTTTAGGAAATGGCTGCAGTCCTGAGCAGTGAGCAGTAAACACAGCCTTTGAAGGCAGGAGCACATTTCCCTTTCAATGCATCAGGTAGGGGTGTATGACTCCGGACTAGTACTAGCATCTGAGTCTTACCTTCCCCCCCCTGTAGTGAAGAATTTGGTCATCTCTTAAGAGGCACTTGGTCTAGTTTCTCAGTCATCCACACCTCCTAGGAAGCTGACTCTTTTTTAAAATGTTCATTTCTGTTACCTCCAGATGTATTTCTTTGGCTTGTTTCAAAACTTCCCATATCCTGGGAAATCCAGCCAGGCAAGAAGTAATTGGTGCTGATAAATTTCACGATGGAAAGAATTGAAGTTGAAGTCTTGGGAGTTTGGTTTTGTTTACAAAGGATAAAAAAAAAAAAAACAGGCTATGAATTCTCAGAGATGCTAGAACTGTAATGAGATAGACCAGCAGGAAAGGCTGCTGGAAAGGCTCGAGCTCTGAAAGACTAGCTGAGGACCAGTTTCTAAAAGTGGTTTACTGCTTAGGCTTTGGTGTTCTTCTCTGGGTTCATGTCCCTTATCAAGATTTGTGATGTAGGGACCCTGAGGATTTAAGTGATTCACAGAGAAAGGATTGCTGGTTTTTCACGGGGCAGTCACACGGCTAAAGGAGGTGGGCTCTTCTCTTGTGTTCCCTGTGTCTAGGACTTCCTCCATCAGGCAGCTGGCAGGACCTAAAAGATCATATGCGAGAAGCTGGGGATGTCTGTTACGCAGATGTACAGAAGGATGGAATGGGGATGGTTGAATATCTTAGAAAAGAAGATATGGAATACGCCCTGCGTAAGCTGGATGACACCAAGTTCCGCTCTCATGAGGTGGGTCCCTCTCTTATTAAGGGCATTGTACTCAGGTCTGTACCTGAACCTGACCTAGATGACGTAGCAATAAGCCATGCATTTGACATGTGATGACTTCACAGCACCATTAAGAATACCCTGGGGTGGATGTTTGGTCTAGCAGTTAAGATGTCACTTGGGGGTCTGCGTTTCACTTTGAAGGTTCAAGTCTCAGCTCCATTTGTGTTCCTAGTTCTTTCCTGTTGACACCATTTAGGAAATCCAGGTGGGGTTCCAGCTATTGGCGTTGGCCTTGCTCAGCCCTTAGCTATTGCAGGCATGTGGCAAGTGAACCAGTGGATAAGAACTCTTTTCAATCTATCTCTAACTCAAATAAAATAAGTTTTGAAAAGAAACTGTGTCTTAAGCAAAGTCAAGGAATTTGCCATTCCTGAGTCCTCTAGCAGTCATAGCAGTGTATTCCTCCTCCCTCCTCCTTTTATTTGAAAGAGAGGAAGAGGAATTAAGAATTTTTTTCATCTGTGGAATCACTCCCCAAATGCCTGTAATAACCAGTGCTGAGCCAGTTGAAAGCCAGGAACATAGAGCTCCATCTGGGTTTCTCATGTGGGTGGCAGGGACGCAAGCACTGAGCCATCATCTGTTCTCTCCCAGGATTCACATTAGTGAAGCTGAATTGGAAGCAGAGGAGTTGGGGCTCAACTCAGGCACAGCAGGGTACAGGTGTCCCAACTGGTATCTTAACTGCTGGGCCAGTCACCTGGCCACCTGGCCCATTAATGTGGGAGTACTGGTGTAGTCTGCCATAATGGGGTGAGCTATTCTGTGCCACCTTGCTTAAACATCAGTGTCCCTAAGTAAACTCAGCTTTTGGCTGTCCCATCTCTTGTTCCTCCTTGTTAGCTACTGCCACAGGGCTGACAGTCATTTTCTTTTCCCAGAGTGGAATCCTCTTTGAAATTTGAGTCACTCTTTTTCTTGTAGTTGATCCCTTCCTTCTTAGAGCTTAAGTTCTTTGTTTTTAAAATTTGTTTACTTAAGAGGCAGAGCACAGAGAGGGGAGGAAGAGACAGGTCTTCCATTTATTAGTTTATTCTCCAAATGGCCCCAAGGGCCAGAGTTGGGACAGTCAGAAACCTAGAGCCAGGAGCTTCTTCTGGGTCTCCCATGTGGGTTCAGGGGCCCAAGATTTTGGGCCACAGGTGCTTTAGTAAGGAGCTGAATTGAAAGTGAAGCAGCCAGGACATGAACTGGCACCCATCTGGCAGCTGCTGGTTTCTGCTTGGTTTGGATGGTGACTCCTTTTGACACTGGATATTTTGTTACCATCTGGACATTGTTTCTTTCTGGTTATTTTGTTCTGACCTGCTGTGTTACTTAAGGAAGCCTGGGGAACTTGGATCTTGGCTTATTTCTTTTTTTGAGAATTCATATAATATCCGTTTTATGGCTTGTTTGGCTTACCAGTTTTTTGGCTGAGGCTGTCCTCTAGAGCTTGAATTTGTAGCATAAACAAAACAGCACTTGGACCTCAGTTACACTGAAAAAAATAGGTCTCAGTAGGGGTAAATCCCTGTCTTTGGCCAAAGGGGACAAAGCTGCTGGCTTCTTTGATCATAATAAATGAGAATGTTGCCTGATGGTATAGGGCCTGAAGATAGGCCACCCCACACAGGACTTCATTTTTGCTTATTAATTTCTTGGCTGAGATGTTGCTCTGAATCCTGCATCCTTCAATATGAAATGTTCAGATAACAGCACACCAAAAGTCCTGCCAGGAAGCTGACCTACAAAGCACCCAGCCCAGCTCCTGACCCTTAGGGAGGTCCCCAGGTTGCCATTTACTCCTTGTGTCACATTTTGCAATTAATGTTTTTCTTCAGTTCCTGAAATGGGATAGTTAAGAGTACGTGTTGTGAGAATAACATTGTGCCAGACATATAAAAGTGCTTAATATTTATATATCTTTTTATTTGAATTTCAGGGCGAAACTTCCTACATTCGAGTTTATCCTGAGAGAAGCACCAGCTATGGCTATTCACGGTCCCGCTCCGGATCTAGGGGTCGTGACTCTCCATACCAAAGCAGGGGTTCCCCACACTACTTCTCTCCTTTCAGATCCTACTGAGACAGCTGATGGGAATTTTTTCCTTTATTTTTTAGATGAACTGAGCTGCTTTGTGCTCAGAATCTACATTCCAGATTGATGATTTAGCGGCTTAGGACATTTTTTTAATTTTTTTTAAGGAAATTAAAAAAAAAACCTGCATAATTTCTACCAGGGCCATACTAAGCAGTGAAATGTTTTAAACTGCAAAAAATTGTGATTCAGAAGCAAGCTGTATATTTTCACCCCAGATTATTGGGGGCGGATAGGGGGAGTCAGTGCTGTGTCTTGTAGGTTGCTCAGCTATGGAGATGAGCAGTTAGTGTGACTGAGTCGGCCCATTCTGTTTAGAAATATATTTTAAACGTTTAGTAATTGACATGTGTGGTTGTCCTTAATTAATAAGTTTCACCAAAGAGGCACACTTAGAAAATGAGTTCTAGCCATTTATATGTACTTGGTAAGAAACAATAGTTGGTAACTGTATTTGGTGATAAAGAGGCGTGCTCTGGTCAGATTCAGGATTCTCTTACCATTCCAGGCCAAGCTTATAAATTAAGGCGGGCTGGGCCCGACGGGATAGCATAGTGGTTAAAGTCCTTGCCTTGCACGTGCTGGGATCCCATGTGGGCGCTGGTTCTAATCCAGGTAGCCCTGCTTCCCATCCAGCTGCCTGCTTGTGGCCTGATGGGGGCGGGGCGGGGGGGGAGGGAGAGGCGGTCAAGGACGGCCCAAAGCCTTGGGACCCTGCACCCGTGTGGGAGACCAGAGGAGCTTCTGGCTCCTGGCATCGGATTGGCTCAGCTCCAGCCATTGCGGCCACTTGGGGAGTGAATCAGCAGACAGAAGATCTTCCTCTCTGTCTCTCCTCCTCTCTGTATATCCGCCTTTCCAATAAAAATAACTAAATCTTTTGTAAAAAAAAAAATTAAGGCGGGCTGAAGGAAAAGGGAGCACTAGGGTAGAGGAAGGGAAAAGGAAGAACAGGTTTGTCTCGGGCTCCGAGCTGCTTGTGCAGGATCACATTGCAGAATGACAAGTGGGTCTAAATGAGGAGTCCCCAAGTTCTAGTCTACTTAGAATTCGCTTCAGATCTTGACAGAAAGTTGCTTCTGTGGTTGGAACAAAGTAGGTACCCACAAACAAATTTAGGTTACGTTTAATAGAGATGAAGCTGCTCAAGTCCATGGAAACAGCAGTGAAAAATGATGGTTTCACCCAGTGGCCCTAGCGCTGTGTGCCTTCCAGTCATCTAAACAGAACAGTTACTTATGCAGCTTGGCAGCCAGTCTTTTTTAGGGGGAGATGAGGGAGAACAATGCTAAACAGACTTGTAAGTGAAATATGTGATCCATTTCATGGAGGCTGATGTTTGCTTTTATTTCTGTCAGCACCAGGGACTTAATGCCCCGTTTTGGCAAGGCCTTTCCCAATCTTCGGAAAAGTCAATGAAGAGATGGTTCCTTTTTTTCCCCCAGGGGACTGAAGGAAATGGGAACATGAGTGTTTACAGTAAGACTGCATCATGGTGCTTGTCCGTGTTCACAGGCTGCTCCCTTCCCAAGGCAGTTCATCAGCTATGTGGGGAGGGCTCTGGTTCGTCCAGCTTTGGCAAAGGGATATTTCCTGTTTGAAAATAGTAATGAGATAACGTTAGAGCAAAGCTTCCCAACCAGCTGGCTCAACTGAGCTAACCTGGTCTGTCCTGGACAATATACAGTTACTAAATGTAAATAGTATCCTGTTTGTCCAAATATTTAAGTGAAAGCAAATCAGTGCACTTTTGAAGAAGCCAACTGTTTAATTATCCATGTGTGTATATGCAGATAGAGGTGCAGACGAAAACGGTGCCTCTGAACTTAGTTTGTCCCAAGAAGCAAAGTCAAGCAAGCTCCTGTTTGAGAGACAGTATGAATGAAGCAGTGCCTGTGGCCAGGCTCTGAGAAAGAGATCGTAAAGTCCTGTTTCAGCAGCCATATTTAGAAGAGTTTGGCTCTAGGATAGTGGACATTGTCCCAGTCTGTATGAGGGCCACGAAGTCATTTGGTTTAGCCCTGCCCAGGCAACTGCAGGCAGAACTCGCAATTCTAACACAGCTGTAGGAAGTTTTGAAGTTGCTAATTTTTGTTTGGCCTATGAATGATGTCACAAATATCCAAATCATTTTGATTTAGTTCAATAGTTTCTACAAAGCTTTCCTTTAACCGGTTGGTTTTGAGGAAGATGTGGTATTTTATGTGGAGGCTTCCTCTTAGGGAATGTCCTGAACTGGAAGGTGACATTAGGAAAGCAGTGTACTGGAGGCTTTGGCTGGTCTGTCCCAATGCCCAGTGAGTACCAACTCTTGAGTACACCCCCCTCTGCAGGAGAGATAAAAACAGCCAATCTCCCAAGGGCCCCTGGCTTTACTGCCGGCCCAATTACTTTAAGACTTCCATTTGAAATATTTCCCATGAGGCTAATGATACAGATCCACCCACACTCACAGGCTGTTTTATTTGGCCTGCATGGCATCTTTTAGAATTTTTTTGAATTGATTATCAATCCTGAAAATGTGGGAAATACCCTACAACATGCCAGGTATCTAGGCTGTCTGAGAAAATGAAATCACTTCTCCTCCTGGCACAAAATGAGAAGCCTTCAATACAGTCAGAAATATAGGCAGGAACATGAGCTTAGATTTGCCCCCATGCTGTGCACCCCAACCCCAGTTCTGTTTTCATTCTGGTTACTGATTAGTACCTAGAGGTGAGTAGGGCCCCAAGCCTCTCCTTCCACCTGAATGCCACCATCTGTATGCACTCGGTCCTTTTCATAATGCTTCCACACAGCATCTTTGGTCCTCACAGTTCCTACTTCATTCCTTAGGTCACTGTGAGACTGGACTGTAAACCATTCTGGGCAACACATACCTGGGGGGGCCACAAAATACTCCTCCAGGACGCAGTGGGAGTTTTGTAGTAGTTCTTCAGCACAGTTGCCTTCTACCACATTGTCAGATCTCAAGTATAAACATCTGCAAAATCCGGAAGTTCAAGGTTACCTTCTTGGAGCACAGGGATTCTAGGGCATGGTGGAGAGAGTCAAGAATGGGAGAACAGAGAGCATATTTTTGAGATTTCATGCTCACTGACTGCTCCATGACAGAAGCGTGGTCTGCAGCAGACTAAACAACAGTGCTGAGTTTACAGATCCTCATAACAACCAAGTGAGGTAAGTGGTAATTATTCCTTGGAATTGATGTGTTTAACAACCATTTTTGAGTGACCACTATGTGTAAGTTAATTTGGGGCAGAGATTATAGTACTACGTGTTATATCTAAGAGAAGTAAAGATTGTCGAGGGAATATAGAGCACCTAGCCAGCCTTGGTAAAGAGCTTGTATTTAGAACAGGTGATGGCACTGGTAAAGAATGGGCAGAAACACCTCCAGGCAGGTGCAGCAGAGTCCCAAAACCAAGAAGGCCCTGCAAATTGAGGTGGGCCAGAAGTTGGGCAGGAGGTAGCATGGTATGGCCAGAGTGAAAAAAGCAGCTAGAAAACAGATGGGAGAAATACTGCCTCTGAAATGATGGTACCAGAATCTAAGCCCATCCAGGTATGCTTAGGATGAATGGGTTTTTCCAGCTCCCTGCTTGTGGCCTGAGAAAGCAGTTGAGGATGGCCCAAAGCCTTGGGATCCTGCATCCACATGGGAGACCTGGAGGAAGTTCCTGGCTCCTGGCTTTGGATTGGCTCAGCTCCAGTCGTTGCGGTACCTGGGGAGTGAACCATCAGACGGAAGATCTTCCTCTCTGCCTTTTCTCCTCTCTGTAAATCCGCCTTTCCAATGAAAATAAAATCAATCTTTAAAAAAAAAAAGATTAATGGGTTTTTAGCCACCTGAATCGATACAAAAGTGCCTTTCCTTGGGCAAGATGCTTAAAAGTTTCCCACTAGGCCCGGTATATACACATTGTGGCCACTTGGGTAGTAAACAAGTGGATGGAAGATCTTTCTCTGTAAGTTTGTCTTTCCAATAAGAATAATCTTTAAAAAGTTATTTTTTCACTGGGAAGTCAGATTTGCAGAGAGAAGGAGAGACAAAGATGTTCTGTGTGCTGGTTCACTCCCCACGTGTCTACAGTGGCTGCCACTGAGCTGATCCAGAGCCATGAGCCTCCTCCAAGTCTCCCACACGGGTGCAGGGTCCCAAGGCTTTGGGCCATCCTTTACTGCTTTCCTGAGGCCATAGTAGGGAGCTGGATGGGAGGTTGGGCAACCAGGACACAAATGCACCTATATGGGAGCCCAGCAGATGCAAGGCAAGGATTTAGCCACTAGACTATTGTGCTAGGCCCAATAAGTAAATCTTAAAAAAAAAAAAAGTCTCGCTGGGCTGACGTTGTGTAGTGGGTTAAACTGCCAGCATTCTATATGGTTGTCAGCTCAAGTCCTGGCTGTCCAGTTTCAACACATTTCTCCGCTAATGCACCTGGGAAAGCAGTGGAAGATTGTCCAACTGCGTGGGCCACTGCACCCACAGGGGAAACCTGGATACAGTTCCTGGCTCCTGGGTTCTTCATGATCTAGCTCTGGTTGTTGCAGCCATCTGTGGAGTGAACCAGCGATGGAAGGATTCTCTCCCTCTCTCTCCACCCTCCACCCCATAACTCTCCCATTCAAACAAATAAATCACTTAAAAAAAGGGGGGAGGGAAGAAGTCTTCCACTATTCTCTGGGCCTTATAATTAAAGTGATCTGGAAAGAAACGCAACATGATAAGGAGTTGTTGACTGGGAGGGATAGCGAGGATTTGGAATGGCCAGCGTGGGACTCCCCGAGGAAATAAGCTGATATCAAAGAGGCAAGGTTGGGAGGGTGGGAAGGAAAAGTGACGGCCACGCAGGTCTCCAAGGGGCAAAAACAAGGTCAGCCAGGCTGACCTTGCAGAGACGGTTCCAGAAGCGGGGGGGAGGGGGGATGATTGTATGGAACTAGGTCGAGAGGACAAAACGTGACAGGCAATCTGCTCACGTGATTCTGTAATCGGGAGTGACAGGATCCGTATTGATCCAGTCTCATCACTCAGGGCCCTTTCCCCGCCGTGAAGTGGGACTTTTCACCGTCACCTCTCGGCGGCAGGCGAAGGTGCCTCAGTCAGGGTTTGGTGGTCAGAGGGTGGGGGGGACAGAGCCGCCCCTTTACCTGTCCTCCAGGACCGACTCCATGGGCTCCACGCCGTCCGTGTCCACCTCGCGCAGCCGGTCGGCGAAGGCGATGGCTTTCTCCAGCCGCGCCACGGCCTCGCGACTGCCGAAGTCCACGAGCGCGAGACGCTCCAGGTGCTCGATCACCTCGGCCGGGACCCGGCCACTTCCCTGGGGAACGGAATCCAGAAAGGTCATGGAGCGGGTCCGCTCCGCCAGCCCTGCCTAAACGTCCCCGGCGGCGTTTACCTGAGCAGTCCCCTTGGAGGTGAAGCCCCGGAACGCACTCCGCGGAGCCCGAAGGCCCAGACACACGCCCCGCGCCCACATTTCTTCGTGGCTCCCGTAGGAAACCACAACACTGTCCACGAGGAGCGACGCGCCTGCGAGTGACGACATCAGGGTGCGCCGCCCTCGCCGCCAGCGCCGCCATCGCCATGAACAGCGTCGGGGAGGCTTGTACGGACATGAAACGCGAGTACGACCAGTGCTTCAATCGCTGGTTTGCTGAGAAGTTCCTCAAGGGGGACGGCTCCGGGGATCCGTGCACCGAACTCTTCAAGCGCTACCAGCAGTGTGTTCAGGTGAGGTCCAGCGGGCTCCGCCACCTTCCCGACGGGGATTCAGGCCGGGCGAGGTGTCTTGTTCCCTCCCATCCGCCGCCGAGGCCGACCGGGCGTCTCTCCGAAAGACCAAGTTAAGATTATTCCTGCTGTGTTTTCCTGGGGGCAAGATGACATCCTGTCGTTCGTTTGGATTCCGATTCTAGAACACAGTGGGCACAGTTCTACGTGGTTTGTCCGTGAAGACTGGACACTCAGAAGTCAAGGGATTGGGAACCAAGTCCAGGTCTCCGCGGTGACTTGAGCCCCTCCCGCTGCCCCGCTGGGGTCTGCACTGGGGGCGACACGATCACGAGTGGAAGCCAGGCACTCGGGGAGTGGGACACGGTGGGGTTAACCGTGTATTAGCCACCGCCTCTCCCACCATTCCCGATAGGCGATGGCGGGGCACACTCCTAGCCTTTCTGTAGCCTTTCGACACTAGAAGGCCATCGTTTTGTTGTTAAAATCCGATTCTTGGCCCGTTTTTCTCAACCACTCCTCCAGGTGTAGCTATGGAATTTTCATTCTGGCTCAGCGGTGTGCAGCTGCCCTGCGTGAGCAAGAACAGTGCTGAGCCAGGCATTTCAGATAAGTTAACCTAAACAGTATCCTCACAGTAATTCCATGAGAAGAGGAGACTGAAGTTCCGGGGTGGAGGTGATGGCACGATGGCTAAATCCTCACCTTGCAAGCACCAGGATCCCACATGGGCGCCAGTTCGTGACCTGGCTGCTCCACTTCCTGTCCAGCTCCCTGCTTGTGGACTGAGAAAGGAGTAGAGGATTCCCCAAAGCATTGGGACCCTGCACCCAGGTGGGAGACCAGAAAAAGCTTATGGTTCTTGGCTTTGGATCAGCAAGGTGGAACAGCTGGGATGTGAACTTGTGCCCATATGGGATCTTGAAACATCCAAGGCAAGAATTTTAGCTACTAGGCTATCGCACTGGGCCCCCCAAATAAGTAAATCTTTAAAAAAAAAAAATAAAGCTGGCTCAAGGGCAGTAGCCAGGAAGTCCTGGAACCTATCTTTGAACCCAAGCATTTCTGTTTTTTTTTTTTTTTTTTTTAATTTATTTATGTGTGGGCCCAGCACAGTAGCAGTTAAAGTCCTAGCCTTGAATGTACTGGGATCCCACATGGTCACCGGTTCTAATCCCAGCAGCCCCGCTTCCCATCCAGCTCCCAGCTTGTGGCCTGGGAAAGCAGTCGAGGACAGCCTTAAGCCTTGGGACCCTGCACCCGCGTGGGAAACCCGGAAGAGGTTCAGTGCTCCTGGCTTTGGATCAGCTCAACTCCAGCCATTGTGTCCTTGTGGGGAATAAATCAGCAGTCTGTCTCTCCTCTGTAAATCTGCTTTCCCAATGGAAATAAGTAAATCTTGAAAAAGTATCTACAAAAACTGATTTGCAAAAAGTGCTGTGTGTGCTTTGGGTCAGGTATGTGGTACAGCAAGTCAAGCCAGCGCTTGAGGCACCTGCGGCTCATGACGGAGGGCTGGCTGGGTCTGAGCAACCCACTCAGATATGACTTTCTGCTAACACAGCTGGGATTACAGCAAAGGTCCGCTTAGCAGGGTCCCTGCCCTCTGTGTGGGACATTTGGATGGAGTTTCAGGCTTCTGGGTTTTCCCTGAGCAAAAGGGCAGTCAGTGGGCAGATGGAGGTCTGTGACGGTGTACATGTGTGTATCACACTGTCTTTTAGATAAGTGATTTTTTTCTAGAAGCAGTTGAATGATGACTCTGAGCCATGTTCATCTCATGTTGTTGCTCACTTCCTCAATGCCTGCAACCCAGCCAAAGCTGGGAACTCTCGTGTGAGTGGGAGGAAGCAGATTACCTGGGCTGTCATTCTTGTTTCCCAATATGTACATTAACAGGAAGCTAGAGTAACTGGGAATGGGAGATGGAAATCAAACCCAGTAATCGCAGGGTAGGATGAAGGGGCGGGTATGAACTACCAGGCGAATGCTCACCCAGTGCTACGGTTTGATTTTCCTTTTGTGCCGTCCTATCTCCTTGTGCATCATCTAGACCGTTTTAAAATGATTTTGAATGTTATTTACATAGTTGAGAAGGATGTGCGCCCACATGGGCCACGTCACAACGTGTTCTCTTTTCTCCTCAGAAAGCAATCAAGGAGAAAGAGATTCCCATTGAAGGACTGGAGTTCATGGGCCATGGCAAAGAGAAGCCTGAAGGCTCTTCTTAATCTTGACACCTTGCAGCTGTATCCCTCGCATCAGGAAACTGAGCACCCTGGAACTGCGTCAACCAGTATTGTGAGCCCAGCCGTCGGGTTTGCCGCGGGCTCCAGGAGGGCACGGTTTCCTCACTTGTAAGAGACCAGGGAACCACTGGCATCTGCTGCTTTAAGAGGACTGCTCTGGCATCTGGCAGAACCTCATCGTGCTCAAATGGACGATTTGTTGGAACTGCATCCTAGACCCTGGGAACAGCTTTAAATATACCTTGTAGGTACATAGTGGTCAACCAGTCAGGATGGTGGCGGTGGCCTGACTTCCACGCACTGCACCGGGGTCATCGGAACCACCTGTTAGGCTTTTCCTCAGGAAGCTGATGCTCTGACAAGGGCTCCGCGCACAATGGCTGGAACAAATGCTTTGGGAGCACAGTCACAGCTCCCTGCCTTAACCAGAGGTGTCAGCCTAAGAGGGGAGACCTTCTGCAATGTTGCAGCAATCACCATTTCAAAGCTCAGCAGAAATGAAGACGCTTGGAGTTGTCATGGAAGGAGAAACCTGAATTGCACATTTGCTCTTGCCTGATTTCAGCCTGAATCCGTTAATCCAACTGCAGATCCTACAAATGCCACATGCTGCTTCTGGTGATCTAAGGGGGGAAGGGTATTTGGCCTTGATTACCTGCCCTGTGATTATGAAGATGGAATAAATTGTAACATTGAGTGTGTCATTATATTCCTGTTACCACACAGCACTCACACATACACTGGGGAGGGTTTTTAATAATTTAAAAGTGAGGAGGGCCTGGTGTGATAGCATAGTGGTTAAAGTCCTCACCTTGAATGTGCTGGGATCCCATGTGGGTGCTGGTTCTAATCCCGGCAGCTCCACTTCCCATCCAGCTCCCTGCTTGTGGCTTAGGAAAGCAGTCGAGGATGGCCCAAAGCCTTGGGTTCCTGCACCCACATGGGAGACCTGGAAGAAGCTCCTGGCTTTGGATTGGCTCAGCTCCAGCCGTTGTGCTCACTTGGGGAGTGAACCACTGGACATAAGATCTTCCTTTCTGTCTCTCCTCCTCTCTGTATATCTGCCTTTCCAATAAAAATAAACAAATCTTTCTAAGAATAATAATAGTTTAAAAGTGAGGGGTCCTGTGCAATAGCCCAGTGGCTAAAGTCCTCTCCTTGCATGTACCAAGATCCCATATGGGCACCAGTTTGTGTTCCAGCTGCTCCATTTCTCATCCAGCTCCCTGAGGATGGCCTGAAGCCATGGGACCCTGCCCTGGCATGGGAAACTCGGAGGAAGCTCCTGGCTTTGGAGTGGCTCAGCCCTGGCTGTCTCTGTAAATCTTCCCCTGCCACCACCAAAAAAAAATCATATAAAATTAAAAGCGAAAAAGAAAAGCCAATTGGTCTCAGGTGGTTTGATATGGCAGTTAGAAACCCGATTTCTGAAATGTATTTCTACAGTAGTCTTACACTGATACTGTAAAACTTTTTACAGATGATCTAAACCCTATCATATTTTCCCCAGTTTACCAATTACTGCTTCACATGTGGCTGCCTAACTAATCTTTATTTCCAAAACCTATTAAGGTTTGTTATTCACAGATTATGTGGAACCCTGCAACAGGTCAGGTATCCAAAGTTGGAGCAGCCACAACCAAACAGCGCTCTAGGACCTCAGCATGACGGCTGTTAGACTCACAGGGACACGAGTGCAGGACTCTTCCTTACACGTTTCCATCCACCTCAATTCTGCGTTGCCAGAATATCCTGTAGCCTGTGCCTTCTGGGAAGCCTTCTTGCCGAGCTGTGACAGAGAACTAGCTGTAAACCAACCATATACTAGCTCCTTGATTGGCAGAACTGTGAAAACAGGTACCTAATGCTACTCTCCCCTGTTAAGTAGCTACTGTGCTTTTATGGACACATCCTGTCAAAAACGACTAACATCTTAAATCACTAATGGGAGACCAATTCTTTGTGATAGCTCCTCACCCTATTTTGAGTTCTTTTTGCTGAAAAGTGCCTCAGCTACTGCAATTGTAATTTTGAAAAGGAAATTGCCCTTTTATGGTGTTTTTGTAACCATTGGTTCTTTCGGCTATAAGATACTTTATTTCAGGAATCAACAGAGCCAATGCTATCGGCAGATATGTGCCACCTTTTTTTTTTTTTTTAACCTGAAGCTTTCTGAACTTGCCAGCTGCCACTGTGCCAAAACAAGTCTTACTCAAAAGTAAGAACTGAGCATTTTCGGAGGATTCAGAATCATAGGGTCTCCTGGTGTCAGCTGCAGCCCTTCACCTGTCAGTGACCTGCCTGATGCTTGTAGGCCTGAACTCGTGCTCTCCTTCCCCACCCAAGGACAAGGAACCAAAAGCCCGTCGTAGCTATTCAGCAGGCTGACTGGAGCCTAAAACACTTGGAACAGCAGCCACACGCCTTCACTGCAGAAACAAAAACAGCATCAATGCTAAAACCTTATCCAAAGTGTGTTAAAGAATGCCACCCGATTGAAGTTTAAGTTATTTATTTAGGCCATCTCCTGCCACAGGCCAAGGGATGGAAGATCAGGATGACGTCATCTTTTAATACAAGGAAGGAAGATGAGCTTAAGGTCCCATGTCCTCTTCTGGTCCACATGCAGAGTGGTGGTCCAAACCAGTGCCGTGGTCCCTGGTGCCCGTGAAGGTACGGGTCCTCTTCATTCGTCTTCATAGCCAGTCGGAAGTGGATTCAGATGAGGGTTATGGAAGAGGGTATGGTTACCATCTCCCCAGGGGAAGGGCTGTGGAGTGAAGATGTCATTAGGTAACTGCAGAACTGTGACAGATCGGGTCGTAAATACAACCCGTCAACCATCAGCCTGTTAACTGCTGCATACTTCAACCTTCCCATAATTTAAGGGAGCTCTTTAATAGCCATGAAGGAAGCCCTTCTTTTAGCAAATATTAGAAAAATCAAGCTCTGAAGCCTCTCCCTGGTAACTACTGGAGTTTATGGAAATGCAATCTTCTAGCCACCCAAGTCAGCATGGTAGCAGTGGGTACAGTAGAAATGCTTTAGCTTGTTTAAATGCAGACTTGCAGGGGCTCCGCCCCAGACTTGAGGCAACCTCTGGACTGGGAAACTGCAGCCCACTCTCAAATCATCTCTGAAGAAGCATTGGGGCTCTGGACCTATCTGGGGACCTCAGAGGATGGGGTTGGGGAGAGTGAGGGAGGGCGGGTTGGCAAGATGATACTGCCATCTAGTGGACACAGGCCGAGGATGCTGCGAAAGATAAAACAGGAATTCCCAACCCCAGGACGTCCACACTGTTGGTGAAAAACAAAAACCCTCCCTGCTCAGCTTCTAATGCTCCCGTGCAAGGGTGGAATTAGGGCTCAAAGACCCAGAAAGCCCGAGTCTACATGAAGATTCTATTCGGATAGTCTTACAGAGGGTAAGTGCTGTGACAGTTAAGAAGCATCGAAGGCCTTTGTCGCAAATACAGCAAACAACGACTTAAACAGGCGACTACACGTATTTGCATCAACTCGGGGTCCAGGGGTTGAGAAGATGGGAAAGGAGGAAGCTGCCGGTCCTGCCAGCGGCTCGGATCTTGGCAAGGTGAGCCACCTGACCTGCCCATTCCCAACCTTGCAGGTTTTGCACAAGGGACACTGTTGTGTAAGATGCGAGGTCCTTCAGGGAGTTCGCGCACGCGAGGGGGGTCTTCCAAAGGGCCACGGAAAGCGACTCCAAGGAAAATGCATGGGTTTTTACAAGGAGAGAGGCTGCCGGGGGGCGTACCTTGGACCTGATGCGGAGGTGCGGGTACGGCACGAACTCGGGTCGCTCGTGCTCGTCGTGCTGTCTCGACTTCAGGTAGACATTGAGCATACTCACGGCCACGCCGGGCAGCGCGACGAAGTAGGTGAGGGCCTTCCACATGCGAGCTGCGGAGGGGCCACGACCGCTCAGCCCCCGGCCGGGCCAGGGCCCTCCACCGGCTCTCCACTCTCCTTCCCCCGCAAAGCCCTCAAAGCCAAGGTCACGGTCCCGCCCGGCCTCAACCAAAGGAGGCTGAGACCTCCCGCCCCGACCCTAGCCCCTGTACCTGAGCCCTCCTCGCCGTGGGCGCCACTTGACATTAACCGCCCCACCGGGAGGCGGGACCGAACAAGAAGCCGAGAAAACCCGGACCAAGCTGCCGCAGCCATTTTTGCCCTAGACCGCCTGAATGTCGGAAGCGGAAGTAGGGAAGAGACCGTGGGGGTGGGACTATAACCTCCAACTGATGCTCCTATTGGTTGACGGACGTTTCATTCACATCAACCGGGACTAAGGAGTCTGCGCACTGTCTTTCGTTGCCTGACCGAGTTTTTGCCAAAATCCTGGGCTTGGGGCTCAAGAACGGCAAGGCTGAAGGAGCATGCGCTCCTCCCTCCTGGCCTCGCCTTCCCTCCGTGCGCATGCGCGTGCTCTGGGCTCTCCCTGGATTTCCCACCTGGGTGAGGGTCGTGGTCTTGGGGTCACCCTCCTGGTTTGAGTCCGTCGACGGCACATAAACTGTCCTATCTAAAACGCCGTTCCAGTTCCTCGCTATCCTCTGCGTGCTGTGTTTCGTGGCACTTGATTTCATCATCGTCGTCGTCATTATTTTGCCCCTGTCCCCCCCACCAGAATATAAATTCTGTGATGCCAAGAGTCTATCGCTATAGCGTTCCTGGCATGTAGCAAGTGCTTAATGCAATTATGTGGAATGAATGAATGACAACTGGAACCAGAAAGAACCCTGGAATGAGTACCAAAAGGTCTGGATTCTAATCCTGGCTCAGTATTTTCAACTTTTGGTCCTGCCTTTGCCCCCAGTATTGTATCATTTGTTAAATTTTTATCTATGCGATTCTTTTTTTTTTTTTTTAAGATGTAATTTATTTGACAGGCTACGTTAACAGGAAAGACACAGAGAGATCTTCCAACCACTAGTTCATTTTCTAAATGTTCGTAGTAGCCAGAGCTGGACTCATCTGAAACCAAGAACCAGAAGCTTCTTCCAGGTCTCCTACATGGATGCAGCATCCCAAGCACTTTAACCATCTTAGACATCCTGTGCTGCATTAGCAGGGAGCTGGATCAGAAGTGGAGCAGCCAGGACTCAGCAGCTGGTTCACCATAGGATTGGGCCTCCACCACCCATGTGGAAGACCAAAAAAAGCTCCTGGTTCCTGTCTTTACTCAGCCTGGCCAGGCCTTGCTGCTGTGTCTATGTGAAGAGTGAATCAGCAGATAGGAGATCTCACTGTCTCTTCCTCTCTCTTTATAACTCTGCCTTGTGAATACATAAGTAAATGTGTTTTTTTTTTTAATGGAAGAAAGTAATCAAACTACAACAATGGACTGTGTGCTCCTTGTTTGTAATGTTAATATATTTTATAAAAGCAAAATAATGAAAGCTTTACATTCTTTCCCCTCAAAATGCAGCTGTGAGTAAATACACACAGTTTTGCATTGTTGGGGGGAAGAAGTGGCCATGAAGTGTACCTGCAGACCCTCTGAGAGTCCTCGTGCCTCAGGAACAAACAAGGGCTCCAGTGTGAGAACACTGGGATCACATCTCCTTCCTTTACTATCTCTGCGACCTTGGGTAAGTAGTGTAAAATGGACATTTCAAGGTCAGGCAGTTTCATGAAGATGAACAGTGGGGACAGGGTGGCCTTCTTCCTCCATCTCCCAGGTGCACGATTAGGAAGCTGCCTCAGAAGCCAAGAGTAGCTGGAATTCAGCACAGGCAGTGTGAGGTGGAAGGCGGATGCTCGAAGCACTGGCTTAACGTACAGTTCTCCAGCGCCCACCCATGCCTGGTACTTCTTGACCACTTACTTTGTGTCAGTATCTATGCCAGGCACTTGGCATAAATTGCCCTCTCACCAGGACAGCGGCAGCTACCTCCTAACCTGTCCTCCTGCTGTCTGCTTCTGTGTCATCTGTCCTCTCCATGACAGGCAGGGACCTCCTACCTCACTCAGAGTGCACCCCAGACCCCACCCAGCCTTTCCTTAAACACCTTTATCCATCATCCTGCCCACCACCATGCCATGCCCACTCCTTTTTAATTTGTTATTTTATATTTATTGGAAACCTAGATTTATGGACAGAAGGGGAGACAGAGAAAGATCTTGCATTTGGTTCATTCCCCAGATGGCTGCAACACCCAGAGTTGAGCCAATCTGAAGCCAGGAGCTTCTTCTGGGTCTCCTATGAGGGTGCAGGGTCCCAAGGCTTTGAACCATCCCCTGTTGCTTTCCCAGGCTACAAGAAGGGAGTTAGATGGAAAGTGGAGCAGCCAGGACATGAACCAACACCTGTATGAGATGCCAGCGCTGCAAAGTAGAGGATTAACTAGTTGAGCTATCACATTGACCCCATGCCCACTTTGTCCAGCCATGTTGGCTTCTCACACCAAGCATGGTGTTTCCTCAGGGTCTTTACACACACTGCCTGGAAGTGTTTTTGCCCAGAGAGCCCTCTGTGTTGCTTCCTGACTCTGCTCAGATCTCTCCTTAAAAGTCATCTTACCAGCATGGCTTTCCCACACCACCCTAGAGGACAACAGCCCTGACACTCCACCCTCCCCCTCAGCCCCTTCCCCATCTGCAAGGCACTTCCTGCCATCTGCCCTATTAAATATTTAGGGGGTTGTTATCTGCCTTGCTCTGCCGAACACCACTAGGGGCAGGGACTGTCTTGTTTGCTGGTATAACTCCAGCACTTGGCACATGGAAGACGCCAACTGAGTACACATGAATCCTAGTTCCCCTTGGAAATGGGTGCCGTTCACCCCATTTTTCTGCTGAGGAAAACAGGAACTCTGGGATGTGCAGGAAATGACCCCATGCGCAAGAGCCTCAGGCAAGTGGTGGACCCCCAGCAGTTCTGCATGATTCTTTTTACCCTCAAAGCCCTACATGGGGGCTTGCTGGGTTTTGGGGGTGGGGGGCGATGATTCCAACTTGCACTAACCTGTTGCCATGAATAACAATTAGCCAGAAAAGGATCCGCCACTTCCTGTTGGAAAGCAAACATCATTGGCATCGTCCTAACAGGTAGATGGAATCACACAAAACGTTCCTGGGGTGTTCCCTTCTGCCACCTGCCCCTGCCTTGCCCTCACCCCTACCCTGGATTCCAGATCTCTCCACACTGGGAACCTCCCCAAGGCCATAGCCACCCAGACCTGGGTTTGACGTCATCCTGCCAGCTGGTGATATTTACCCTCACACTGAGGCCACCACATTCTGCGCGCTCTCTCTCTCTCTAACACTGTCTTCCCTTGACGCAGAGAGCTAGCTGACTGCGGAGGCAGCTGCTGGTGGGCAAAGGGTACGTGGGAGTGGGGGTGAAGGAGTGAGGCTCCCTAGCCAAGGACAGGCCTGCATCCTCCCTGCTTTGTTCACTGTGGATTCTTCCAGCCAAGAGAACCTTCAATTCCCAGTCCCATAAATAGTTGTCTGCCAAGAGCCACAGCCCAATCTTAGGAGAAGCACTAGAGGGAGGAGACACCAGAGCTCTTCTGGTTCATTCTCCAGATGTTCACAGCAGCGGGGGTCAAGCCAAACTGAAACCAAACACAGAACTCTAGCTGGGTAAGCCACGTGGGTGACAGGAACCAAGTATTTGAGCCATCACCTGCCGTCTGCCGGAGTGTGAACTGACAGGAAGCTGGTATCAGGAACAAAGCAGGGCTCCTATGAGGCTTGTGGAGGAACTGAATGGGATAGTGTTTGTACAGCACTTAACATCTTGTCCAACAAACAGCAACTGAGCTCATGAGTCATCGACTGGCACGTGGAATTGATAACAAATGGGCCAGCGTCGTGGCATACTGGGCGAAGCTACTGCTTGCAATGCTGTAGCATCCCTTACTTGGGTACTGATTTGAGTGTCTTGGCTGCTTTGCTTCCAATCCAGCTCCCTGTTAATATGCTTGGGTAAGATGCAGGTAGTATTCCAAATCCTTAGGTTCCTATTCCTAGGTAGGAGACCCAGACAGAGTTCTTGGCTCCTGGCTTCAGCCTGCCTCATCTCTTGCTGTTTTAAGCATTTGGGAAATGAACCAGGCCAAGATTTGTCTGTCTGTCTCTCTGTCTCTGTCCACTCTTACAAAATATTATAATTCATATTTGTAATAATTCCTAAAAACCTATAAGGACTATACTCATAGCTTAACATAAATTATATCTAAGTGTTCATTATTTTAATATTTAGCTTTTAAATGTTCTATCAGGAGGGGTTGGCATGTAGCTTAGTCACCACTTGCAGTGCTGGTATCCCATATTACAACACCTGTTCAAGTGCCTGCTGCTTCACTTCTGATCCAGCTTCCTGCTAATATGCCTGGGAAAGCAACAGTAGACGGTCCAATGTTTGAGTCTGCATAATCATGTGATAAACCCGGATGGAGCTCCTGACTGCCGGCTATAGTCTGACCCAGTACTGGCTGCTGTGGCCCTTTGGGGAGTGATTCAGTGAACAGTAGACCTGTCGCTCTCTCTTTACCACTTGGCTTTTAAAAATAAATAAATAAATAAGCAAGAAAATAAATAAAAATAGGAGAGAATTACTATTTACTGCTTTCAAAAACGTTCTGCTACAAATACATGAGATTTTCAAAAAGTTAACAGAAAATACATATTATGAAAAAAGTCACATCGCTTCCAAATTTTTTTGCCCAAACTGGATATCTCTCAAATACTATTTTCCAAGAAATTTTGAAGCACCGTTACTTATTTTATAAGCAGTTGCGTGATAAGAACAAAGAATTCCTCCGAGAAGCGGGTATTAAGCCGCTACCAACAATCCGGCATTAGACTGTAAGCCCTCTGCGGGCAGGAACCCCTCGGAGCTGGCTGGGCACATTCAAGGCGCTGAGCCAGCCTTGCCAGCAAGCGGGCGGGGCAGCGCGGGGCCCCTCGCCTGCAGTGCCGCTCTCGCCCGGTGGGTGGCAGGCTCCGCATGCGCGGGCTCCGCCCGCAAGCCGGGAGCGAGCCGGGTCGCAAGCCAGCGACCTTCAACGTGGCCAACAGATCTCTCCTGTTCCTGAGGAGACCCGGGGGGGCCCCTGCCAGGCTTCGGGGTCTCCTCAGGACTTCCCCTCAGAGACTGGGGCTGCGTGCCTGGATGAGAACGGGAAGAGACACCCTCACTCCCCGGAGTGCCCCTCAGGAGCCCTGACAGGTAACCCCGCCTCAGGGGAGCGTGTT